TTTTCACTTAGGTGCACGCAATTTTTGGGAAGATTTACATGACATTTAAGAATGTACTGAATATAAAATTTTAAATATTTTTCATTTTAATCAGTAATCTATCAGAAATATTTGGATTAGTTATACTGTAAAGCCTGTAACACTTAAAACTGCAATCCAACAGGAAGTGAATATTCCATTTTTATTTAGTGTAGGTGTTTTTTACATGTTTTTATGTTATTTGTATTCTTTATATTTTGAATTCATTTGTTATATTTGATATCACAGACAGATAAATGAATGCCTGAACTGATATTTTATGGGTTTCATATTACTTTGTATACAAAAGAGAATATCATAAATCATATAACTATTGTCCGAATATGTGTATTGAACATTTGACGACGACGATAATGTCGCCAAATTCTCAACCGTAACTCAAGCTACGGGCCTCGCTTGACACTTCACATCAGGGCCTGTTAATCAATGTTGTACAGGAGCCTGTCATCACCTCTTGTCATCACCTCTTTGTTCTCCACCTCATCATCTTCATCATCATAATTATTAATTGTGCATAGTAAAGTAGGGAAAAGCTATGACGTCTCATAACACACGACAGTGCATTTCAAAGCATCTAGAAAGCAAAACCTTTCGAAGGAGGGACAGAAGATTCGCCGACCAGGCCCACCCCACTAAAATTTGTCTTCCAGCGACAGAACAAGCTAGCTCTCTTCTCATGACCCCGCCCATAATGGGAACCCATCTGTGCGATAGTCAGGGTAAACTCCCCGCTTGACATGCATTTAAGAGAAGTGCTTAAAAAAGTTGTAGTTTACGGTATATATATTTATAGAAAATAATTTTGTATACTAGAACTATCAAGAATAAATATACAAATAAGGGCATGATTTTCTCTTGTCAATTGGCTAGGTAATATTAGTGAAGACATGAATGTAAGTCCTAGGCAAGTGTATAAGAGAACTTTTATATTGTGATTTTGTGCAAAAGCTCACTGTGTGTAGTAATTGATCTATAACTTGATTTGGATAAAAGCTAAGCCCACATAGACCTTGATTTTCAATTGAAGAAGAATTGCATCCTATTTTCTTTATCAATCATTATAAATCTTACACTAAATGGAAGAAAATAATGTAAGCTATCATTCCGTTCACCCTAGAGTTCACAGACTTGGTGATTCCTGAGTTGTCAAGAGGGAGTAGGTTGAGTCTAAACATACAAGTGGAATTTAGACTTTTGCCTATTCAAAACCTAATCAATTATCTTCTGGTCTGTAAAAATGTGGTTAGGTTGAAACCTGACCAACCGTACCGGTGGCTACGGCTCTAGTGAATTGTAATGCCTATGTTAAGGTACGATCTTTATTTGAAAAACTTATTGAAGCATCTTCACTTTAGCATAGTCCCGATTGTCCCAATGTCACTACGACTTACGATCGCGAAATACGATCATTGACATGTACGGCTCAGGGAATACATTATGTACCACTGGTCTGTTCTCCACTAGACTAGGCCTAACCATTTTAAAGCTATCGTTAGATTTCGAAAAAAATAACGCTTATGGTTTTATGGATGAGGGAAGAGAGAAAAGATAACTATTTATTTTGAAAAAAATATATTATAAAATGACTTGTTTCTGTTTGCATATTGATTTTGTTTTCATTTAAATTAAAGTGAAGGTATGAGTAAATGAAATTCAAAATGTGGGACATGGGCCACGCCGCATCGCGTCGCAGCATAAATATGTACCAAAATGGCAACGCCTATATCCGCCCTTTAGAATTTTGCGCACCACTCTTTAAATTTTGAGAACATTTTTAAAATTCGACATTCTTTAAAAACAATTCTGGTGAGAGGGCTGAATTATAGTATCGAGTATTTTAAATGGTTCTAATAGGATGAAGCGTGCATACTAATAACATATACTGCCTCTGGATGTTTTGTCCATGTCGTTTGCTTATGGCATTCTGTTGTTTTCTGATGACGTAGGCTTTCTACTTAGACGCAAGTGACGTAAAATCAAAGATAATAAATTTAATAGCAAAAGATATAGCAGCTTTGCGATATAGTGGAACGTCCAGTCGAAATGCATTGCAAGAGAACGGAGAGAAACTTACCCCATCCGTAAGGCGGCGCTATATATTTATAATCAAGGGAGCCACCAATTGATTGAAGCGTTTACAAACTTTTCAGAGAGCTAGCTTGGATACGTTCTTTGAAAACTGGGTACGAAAATGCCGAAATAATTCAATAATTAAGCCGGAACTAATTATGCTATTGAAAAGCATTGATTGAACATTAGTTGAATAGGTCGATTTAAATGCCGAGAAAGGATAGGCATAAACTATGTGATGAAGTGAGCGCGATGATCTTCAGATAAAGCACGTACATTGTATGCCCCGGAGAATATTTGAACAAATGTCAAATTCACTAATCCAGATTATCAACTTAAATAAATGTGAAGTAAAAAAATAAAACGGTCAACAAATTACAGATTTTGAGTTACGGTGCCTACAGCCAGGTCACCCTTCGGTCACCAAAACACCGCTACGAAATACTTTTAGTCCCATGAGATGGTCTTAGCGTGCTTCGACCTTAGATTGTCATGATCATAAGCAAACACAATGAAAGATACACATAAAAACATTCAACCAAGGATTTAATTTGATCAAGGCATAATAACTATGAATAATGTCATCATTTGAAAAGATATCTGACGAAAATTTACCAATAATTTTAGTTTCGAGAATGGATTCGGTTTGTTTACAGTAGGTAATTCATATGTTTGAGAAAACATTTACTTAAAAATACATTCAGGTAAGAATGTTTCATTTCATTACTTTTGTTTATTGTAAACACTTTTGGAAATCACTTAGAGGAGTATATCTAAATACTCTATTCGAAACGGGGATGGAGTTCGATTGTTGTATTTTGTGTCTGTGTAATAGTATAATAATAATGTAATCGTATTCGGAAACCTTTCGTTTGTAAATTGGCATATTATACACGCCTAATTACGTTTACTACATTATATTTTTTAAGATTGATTTCAGCTAGATGTTTAGAGTTATCTGGTGAGAGCAGCCAGCTCAGTCGGCTCAACTGGTGGCAGCCACTGTGTGTGCGCTGCACCGTGGAGATATCTTGGTCCCCGGTTCAATTCCCATCACTGCTCTGCTTGTGTTTCAAATGCAAGTTCCAAAAGCGCACCGTCTTTCGGATGAGACGTTTTAGCCGTTGGTCCCGTGTGCAAAAAGGTCCATGTGCATGTTAAAAAACGCAGTACACTCTTCCGAAAAAGAGTAGGGGATTGTCTCCTGATGTACTGCCCAATCACCACCAGAAGGACCCCACGGGAAATAAGTCTTCTTCAGTCTTCGTATGTTATCCTTTGGTGCCCACACCGAATAAAGCCAATCTTCGAATTGGTTACCGGTACCCATTCTTTATGTTGTTGCTGAGGGCCCGCTTTTATTTATCATTTTTATTTCTATTTTACTGCTATCCTATTATTTGCAGATGATATTAAATTATAAACATTTCTTCATCCGATGATGCTACTTTACGTCCGGAAATATGATTTGGTACTGTGGTGTAGTAATCAATTTTCTCCAAAGTGCCTGTTATATTATATTGTTACAGACATAACAAAAGATGAAGAAAAAACCATAATCACCTACGAAATGGCAAAACTTTCAAATTTTACAAATTTAACCAGGTACAAAGAAATACACATAGAATTGTAACGAGGAAGGTTATGGGTAAAACCAGGCCCCGTGGACAAGAGAAAGTAATGTACCTCGTGTATGATGGCCCCCGCGGGGAAAGACCCTCAAAGTACTCTACTTAATTACAGAAAACAGTTACCGTATTCCGGAATTGACATATCCTAAAAAACGAAATGCCATGTCTATTATGGCCGTTTGTATGGCTCTACGAGTTTCTTATGTTCATTACGGTACGACACAAAGTAAAATAACCAGTTGTATTGAATGGTGCCAGGAGGACGAAATCGCGAAACTATTGAAGCAAACCATGCAATTAAGATTGCCTTTGTTTGTCTTATTTGTCCGTTTCTGTATTGTGTCGTCTGCACCATCCCACGGTTTTCTAAAGATGCGCTACGTCTACGCAAGTTGCGTAAAATGAACACGTATAGATATTGCTCAACTGCTAATATCAGTATGTGCAGTTCTGACACAAATAGCGACGCATTGATGAAGAACGCTATTAGTATGCATCCAGCAGTACCACGGGTTCCTTCATCTTCATGCAATGGTCATGTTCTGTGACGAAGAAGCTTACCGCCCGTGCTCGAGACTAAAAGTGAGGCATCGGCTACCGCAAGAGAGAGACATATTGACCTATGGTCTGTTACTTGCAGATGATATTAAATTATACAAATTTCTTCATCTGATGATGCTGCTTTACTTCAGGAACTTAGATCTGGATGATTTGGCGCGGTGGTCGAATTCATGGAGAATGGTAATCCATTTCTGCAAGTGAATGTTGTCAATTTAGGCTCACCGGGCTCCAAATGAATATGTGAAGGCCAAAATGACCACCCTCTTAACGATATACCTGGTGTAAGGCGTGAATTTACAAAAATATCGGTATGTACAATATTTAGGTAGTTTTGTTCATCTTGTTGGCGTGTTATTGTGGGATTAGATAAAGTAAATATTGTGTTTGAGCAAGTGAGATTTGTTATGACCGTCATAGGGCGGCCTTTGCTAATTGGTCCAGCATTAAGCCTTCGTAGTGTCACTATGCCACCATGCAATCATAAAAAATTGTGCAAAAATTCGGCGGCTTTGAATTGGCTCATTTTCTGAAATTGTGTGTATTAGACCCATACCACCGACACATGTTTCTCTAGCCAAAGAGGTATTACAACTATGGTGTCTCTGCTTGTTTCTTGTGACGATCACGTCACGCCATGGAATAGAGGCCTGCATTCTTCCAAAAACTAGACCATCAGCCCCCTGAAATCGAATTCCATTATCATTTTCTTTCAGTGTTATAAGTGGTGACATCCTCTATGGTGAGATTGTTTATTTTGCCACTCGTTGATGGTCTTTGCCTACTTTGGCCAGCCTTTTTAGTTCCGCATTTTGTCAATCTCCAAGTCGAGTACCCAACTACGAAGGCTTTTCTATACCTTGGGTTGGTAGCACCGTAGACCAATGGATTGATGCCAGAATTAACATATAGTAGAAGACGAAATGAAGTGTATAATTTGACATTTACTTGTGGCGCCACAGGTATTTCATTGCCATTGAGTTTATACACAAAGCGAAGTAAAGAATAAATGTTGAATGGTGCCAGGAGGACGAGGTAAACCAAACCATTTAAGCAAAGCATTCGATTGAAGTATTTTCTTATTTGTCTATTTCGGAATAGTGTCGTCTGCGCCATCCCACGATTTTGTAAAGACGTGCTAATCCCACGGAAGTGCCGTAAAACCAGTACGTATAAAACGTTACTAACTATTACTGATGCAAAAAATGCACATGTTTGCATAATATGAAAGTAAATATTCAAACTATCAATATCGGTTGTCCCCTCTGTGTATCCAATAGAGCGACAAACTCCATATGTCTCCGGAGGATCTACATACTTACTGTCCCAATGAACTAGGCAGTAAAGCCTGAAATTGGCGAATGCAGGTGACAAGCTAATTGAAAGTATCGAAGAAACCAACCAGATGGCTGTCAGAAAACGAATAGCTCTCTTCCGTGGATAGACTTGAGCTTTCAGTGGTCTACAGACACAGTAATATCGCTCAACAGCTAATACCAGTATGTGCAGTTCTGACGCCATAAAAAACGTATAGGTGAAGTATTTTGTTAGTATGCAACCCGCAGTACCACGATTTCCAACGTCCCCATACAATGGAGAGATGGCATAAGTAACTAGCCTATCGCTGATGCTCGTGATCAAATATGAAGCATCCGCCACCGCGAGACTCACGAGATACATATTGATGGTAATTCGCATATCTGGTACTCGATATACCATGAGTATGAAAGAGAAATTCGTGATTAAACCGAATACCAACAAGATCGGCATTACAATCGCTGTCACGGTTTCTTGCCAATCTGTGTATAGAAGATCACTTAGGTTAAATCCAGACATATTATAGGTTAACGCACAATCGATATTTTTCAAGCCCATTGCAACGTTTTTGGCTGTCAAAAGTGTACTTCGAATGACAAACGTTTACACACGTTAGTAACGCTTAAAATGTTAAATAACTTTTACAAGCTCAGTCTGTTGTGGAAGAAGAAATGGAATGGATTGCGGTCTGCAGAATCAGTTAAGTGTACGTCGTCGTTCAAGTTATATAACAACTGAGGCGAGAATTCAAGAAGAGGTACTTGCATTAAAATATGAAGTGTATTACTAATATAGTATGTGTAGATAGTTGTGAGACCGTTGTCTTAGCCGCTTATCTCTAGAACATTCATCTACGGTTGTCCTGACAGTGGAATTTTTTTACCATAATACAACAAATTAGTATATATACTGTAGGGCTTTGTGTTGGCAAACTGAAGCCCCGCCCTTTTGATGTTCCTCCTAAGGTCCTGCAGACCGACAGTCTGATCGTAGGTAAACACGTACAGTAGAAGCTACTCTCAGTTTTACGGACGATCACGTCATAAACATCCCTAATATTCAAAACAAAAACATCCATAATGTAACAGAGAATTGTTACTTACTGTCTGTTATTTCAATACTAGGCCTATAATAACAATAAACAAACCATATGCAAAGTATTTGCATTGAATAGCAATGTTGGGTGTGTTCACCTAACGCGCTGTTATAATTTAAACCACTTGGACTACCGGTTTTTTTAACTAATATGATTGGCCAATTGTTAAGTTTCATTGCATTACTCCTAAGATAGTATAATACATACTGTTATCGAAATGTGACCGGTTGTGTCAATAATAGGTCTTAGTGGCAAAATAGCATCAACATCTTTGTAACGTCCCATAACTTTTTTTAATGGTTCACGTTTCATAATATTTAACCTGGAATTAATAATAATGCCAAGGTCTTGGTGCTAATTAATTATCTTACCGTTTTATTATTATTATTATTATTATTATTATTATTATTATTATTATTATTATTATTATTATTATTATTATTATTTATTATTATTATTATTGTTATAGTATAATTGTTATTGTTGTTACTGTTATTATTTATTGTTGATATTGTTGTTATTATTATCATCATCTGTTTGCAATATGACTGTTAAGTGGTAAGTAAAAGTAAATTTAATCTATTTAATGTAAGTGTATTTAATAAAGGTGCATTTCTTCTGACTCAATGTGTTGTTTTTGTAACGACTTGAATAAGTACATTATTTTAAACTTGTCTAGAAAAAGAAGCTTTGTTTGTAAAACAAAAAAATGAGGGAAATAGGCCTATTGGAGTATAGTGGCCCAAAGGAGCACTATTCTGCTATGTTTGAATGACGTTTGTCAAAACAAAGCTACCTAGATACATTGATGCGCAGGTAATATTTGTGGGCCCTATGGCGCCGGCCAACATCACGTCGTAACTGATAATGCGTTTTGATGGTCAATAATAACAATATGGATATTTACAAAAAGAATTGCCAATCATGAAAGTAAAAACTTTACCTGAACTTAATACAATTAGCGTATCGAGGAATCTTGAATTAGGGAGGTGGGAAGTGAAGTAAGGTTTGCCAATTGAGATTAATTGAGCGCTGATTGTTTGGCTTCGATCATTTTCAATGGAAGGGAGGGACTGGGGAAGGAAACGAGCTCTTTTCTTTTGGAGGTGGGGAGGGGGCGGTAGTGTAGAATCCACCAATGTAAAAAAAAATCAAAATAACCACAAGTGTAAAAATATCTACAAACTTAAAAAAAATCACACATAACTGTAAAAATATGTTGAACCTCAAATGTAAAAACATTTAGACTACAAATTTAAACATTTTCATTTTTACCTCAAAGGTCATAATATCTCAACCGCAAAAATGTAAACATGCATGGATTAGATATACTGATGTATATAAAATATGTAAAAGAACGCAATTGAAAATTCAAAATAAATGGGGAGAATCAATAAAAAGAGAAGAAATAAACTAGATTTATTCGTCACCGACGAATTTTAAGTGATACGCAATAATGATAGTTTTCTATTCGTGTCAGTGTTGTAAACCAGTCTGTCGCCCTCTGGCGGGATCGATTTATGATAAATCATAGAATTTCACCGAAATGAAATAAAGATTTGCCTAAGTGAATGACGATGAAAATGAAAGGCACAATTATGAAAGAAAATTGTCTCAGTTATGATATACAGAAGCTTGGGAGACGATCGATCAAGGATAAGCGAGATACGCTCTAATGAATATAACAATTATGACGTTATATATAAAGAAAATCATTTTTTTAGATGAAATGAAATCAATGAAATGGGTACATTGTTTTTACATTAATGAGTATTTTTATATTTGTGGCTGATTTTACATTTGTAGGCTCTACAGTCCCTGTAATAGGCTTGATCATAGTGTTAAAATGTATATTTCCCCGGGAAAATGTCATTGAATCTAGAGAGCATGGCAATGTACTATTTTTTTGCGAATTTTGGCAAATATGGTTTGAATATGTTTAAAATAATAGGCCTAAACATGCATTTAGAGGTTGGATATTTGAGAAATAAAAGGAGAGACATTAAAAACTAAGGGAGAAATTTTAATGAACGCTTCCTAATAAGGGTAATACATTATACCGTATTACGTACAAGTTTGGCATCAAAAACTCTAGATAATGTCTATATTAACAATCAACTGAAAGCTGAAACTACAGCATTCATTGTAACGAATATTTCGACTACTCCGATAGTCTTTGTCGGCGGTTGACATAAACATTCTGCTTTCGATTAAACAAATAATGTTAATTCGAAAACATACTATTAAAGCTGAATGTTTCAGTTTAATTTTTCAAAAGTAATGTATGCTTCAAAGAGTGATACATTAATAATGATTACCCTAAAGTATACTTTAAATTATAATTCATTGCAGCTTCTGAATGTTGAAGTTGAATGACCGATAAATAGGCGCTGGTTGCAACAGCGTGCCACCGATGGTTCCGGTGTTGGAACACGTCTTCTCGGATAGGGACAATAAACCGTAGGCCCTGTAGAGCCCACAAATGTAAAAATCAATCGCAAATATAAAAATAACCACCAATGTTAAAACATTGTAACCACAAATTAAAAAATAGCCACTGTGATAACATGTCAACCACCATTAAAATAAGCACAAATGTAACAAAATTTGCCCACAAGTGTAAAGATCTATTTAACCACAAATGTAAAAACATTCCATTTTAGCTGAAATGTCATAACATCTCAACCGCAAATGTAAACGTTCATTGCTTGCATATACCGATGTGTAAGAAAATGAAATGAAATGGGTACACTCTTTTTACATTGTAGGTATTTTTACATTTGTGGCTGAATTTTTCATTTTGTTTGTAGGCTCTACAGTCCCTTTAATAGGGGTTAATCTTAGTGTTAAAAGATATATTTCTCCGAATTTAGAGAAGATGGCAATGTACTTAGTAGAAAAAGCAGATGGATCCCCGAATTGTGGCATATAAGGCTTGAATACGTTTAAAATAACAGGCCTAAAGACATGTGATAAGTAGGACAGACACTAAAAACTAAGGGGGGAATTTGGTTGAAAGTTTTCTAATAATGTTAATAAATACCCATATTACGTACAACTTTAGTGTTTTAAAAGCCAGATAATGTCTAAATAAAACATTCAATTGAAAGCTGAAACTACAGAATTAACGAATATTTTTACTACTTCGGTAGTTTTGTCGGCGGTTCACATAAACTTTCATTCTGCTTTCGAATAAACAAATGTTAATTGGAAAGGGTGGTGGTCTGTGGATCCTCCTTCCTGAATGCTTAGATTCTGCATTCTATTAATTAATAGAAAAACTTCGAACTCATTCTGCCCTGTCATGAAACACCCACTCAACCTAAAAATGCACTTTTTTAGCTTTTTGATCTTTTGTGGACATGCAATACACCTTGCGATGCATTCAGATTTTTAAAATTATAACTGCAAATCGCGTCGGGCTGCGCCGTACGACGCTGTCCGGGTTGGCCCTCAAACGCAATACGCAGGCAAATGAATGAAAACAAATAAAAATTGTTTAAGAATCTATATATTATTATGAGCATATAATATTCAGACATAACCAAACGCACTTGATAACAAAATGCTATTTTGCTATAAACAAATTTAATTAAATTTCATTTAAACTGAAATAAATGATCAGAAAATGAAACTTGAAAACTAGGCGGCGCTGTAACATTTTGAAATTACTTCTGTTTGTCAGAGCAGACATTTTTGAGCTGACAACTAATTGTAACGTAATTATATATGCATACGTTAATAAGTGAAATAAAGGTCATTTGTACAATACAACTAAAATTTGTGAATTTTATTCAACTTGAAAAAAACTAAATTGCGCATTTTAATACATAGAGGTGTGACATAAGCAGGCCTAACTATATACACATCTCAATTACTTCTGTCTAGGCAGCATTTTTCTAACCAACTACGACAATGTACTTTAAACCGCCGAGTTAAAACGCATAAGGCTATAATATCTTCTCACCTCTATCGATAATCTCATTCATTAAAAAACTATCAAAATTACGTTATATAACGGTGTCGGTCCAGGGTTGTAGCTTGGATTGCCAATGGTACATGGGTATGCAAAACATTTAAATAATTTAACCAGTTACTGTACAAAGAAATGTATATACGGTATACAATTGTAACAAGGCAGATTGTAAGTGAAACCATGTGGCGAGGCCAAATAAGTAAATTTGCGTCGTATATATTTGTCCCGCGGGGAAATACCCTCACAATACCTACTTAACTATTAAGAAAACAATTAATTTACATTTCAATGATTTCTATTTAAAGCTATGATTTGGTAAACATCCTTAAGCATTAAGCTTTGTTTTTTTTTTGTTTTTTTTCAAAACTTATCTTTTGTAATTTCCAATTGGACTATAAATATGTATGGGTAACTTTACTTACTGTAGGCTTATATTTTAAGACGGTATAAAAGTTTCTTAAAAATTGTAAAATGAATGAGAATTGTCTTTAATTATGTAGGCCTATGTGAAAAAGTGAGGAGCAATCAAAAGGGGAGTTCCCACTAAAGAGAAAAAAAAGTCGTTCACAAGTTTAAACATCAACATTGAAACATAATACGGGCCTGCCAAATGTTATTCGTAAATAGGAAATAGCCACGTATATCACTCGTGTAGTTCGTATGTACAACTATTAGCAAAGAACTTAAATAGCAGAAGAATGAGCTGTTCCGCGTATTTGCATTAAAATTGATAGAACCTCCGCCCTCCCGCGGATGGGGTAAAATTTGAATATCTTATTAAGTGGAAAATCTACAGGAAACAAACAAACCAGAGCGGCGCCTTTATTATTACTATAGCGCCGCCGCACGGATGGGGTAAAATTGCTCTCCATTACCCACAATGCCTTTTGAACGGATGTTCCACTTTATTGGGAAGCTGCTATATCTTCTGCTATTTATTATCTTTGCTATTAGACACACCTTATTATGTATCTAGATACGTCCCTACATACGGTACTGACTGCTTGGCCTTCAAACCTCTGAAATCAAATTAAATGATCAGTTTAATCCATGAAGATGGTGAGATAATATTGGGATTGGTTTTTTTTTTTGTGTGTTTTTTTTTAATAGTTTGCCAATCGTTGGGGGTTCTTGCATATTTCGTCCAGCCTTAAGTTTCGCTTCTAGACAATGTCCTAGATGACCACGCAACCACAAAGGCCTTTCGATACCTTGGGTTGGAAGCACCGTAGTAATTCTGCTGAAGCAACTGACGTCAAACCAGCACTTGCAGAATTTTATAATCATGAAAAGTTATTCGTAAATAGACGCGAGTATCCCCGTGGCTTTAGAAGTTCTCTTGTTCTATGTATACGCTTTGGTGTGGGCAATTAGACACATCTTATGTATTTAGAGACTGCTTGCTTGCTCTGAAATCAAATTAAATGATGATTTTCATTCCATGCATTTTGTCAATCGTTGGCAGTCTCCATATGTCTGTGTGACTGGAGGTGGCACATACAGTATTAACTGTCTTCCAAAACACTAGGCCAATTCAGACCTTTGAATCGAATTACATTATTACTTTCTTTATTACATGTTGTCAGTAGTGAGATTCTCCATGATCAGAGTGTTGGTTTTGTCACTCGTTGGTGGTCTTTGTCTAATTTGTCCAGCGTTTTTGGTTACGCATTTAGACAATCTTGTAGTTAAGCACGCAACAACAAAAGCTTTTCGATATCTTGGGTTGGTAGCGCCGTAGACCAGAGGATTGATGCAAGAATTGAAATAAATTAGAAGACGAAACGTGAAGATCACTGTGGCCATTAGATGTTGGTCCACACTTGTGTGTTGGCGACTGATGCTCAAAATGACATAAAGAGTACATGTTGAATGTACTCTTTATGTCATTTTGAGCATCAGTCGCCAACACACAAGTGTGTTGGCGACTGATGCTCAAAATGACATAAAGAGTACATGTTGAATGGTGCCAAGAGGAAGAAGTAAACCAAACCATTTATGCAAAGTATGCGATTGAAGTGCTGTCTTCGTTTTATAGACACCCGTAAGCGTTTTCCTTTCTGCAGTGTGTCTGTTTATATAAAAACCAGCTCTTCATTGAGGCACGATAAAGGAAGAGACATTTATGTAAGCAGTTATCATCATAAGCTTGGTTTTTTTAATACAGTAGGTTCATATATGTCAACGGGACTTATTGATTTTACATAAAACACACATTTTGCAGAAACTCATGCGTGACTATAAATTTGTCACGCACAAGTCTATGCGTGATAACGAATTATCACGAATTCAGGGGAAGATGTATTTAAAATTATTATAAGAGTCATTAGAAAGCTTTCGTCTATTTTTAAAATGATAAATTAAAGAATTAAAAGAAAAGAAAGGAAAACATAAAATAAAATAGCATCAATTTTACAGTCACACTTCAATGCCTCCAGGTCAACAAAAATAAAAGTGTATTGCCATCCAGTGAATGACCCAATGTTCACCAGAGTCCTGATACACTCAGAATTTTAAGCCTATTTACTATAACGTAAGTCACATTACTGACCTTATAATTATCAAATGGAGAACAATGTGTGATTGTAAAACCTTACTGTACATAAAAAAATATACAAAATTACCAAGCGTTATTGCAAATGGTATACATACAAGATTATCATACAGTAAAATAACAAATAAATATATTTTAAAAGTTCATAAAATTATTTAGGCAAATCCTAAATCAAAGCGGAACTCTGCAACTAACTCTTTCGTTAAAGACTATTAGTTACCATTTATACTGTAGTAACTAGCATTAAATACAATTAAATTAAATACAAAACATAAAATAATAATTCTTACCTATAAAAAGAGCCAATTAATGTCGAATAATACAAAAGAAAAGATTGAATTTAGGCTGACAAGATGTTTCTCCTAGGTAGGATGGGGGAGAAGTGAATACCTTATATTAAGGGGCGTAACAGCCTTTTACACCTTTTTCCCCAGTTTTTAAATATTCAAAAATCTGTATCTCATTCACCGTTTCCCAGTTTTTCGTCAGACAACTTTTTTCAGTCTTAGAAAAATCAGTGCTACAACATATCAAAACATTTTTTCCCCTCGGGAGTCTTACTTTAAGAGCTGAGATTAACTGCTCGGTACTTTGTCGTTGAAAAGTTTAAACATGAAAATTGAAACATAATACGGGCCTGTCGTCCCTCTTGTTGGCGTGTCCTCCCGATTATGTAATATATAGCATCGAGTATTTTAAGTTCTAATAGTGTGAAGCGTGCACATTATTAAGTGTACTGCCTTTGGATTTTTTTCCATATTATGCCGTTTGCTTACGGCATTCTGCTGTTTTCTGATGTCGTAGGCTTTCTAATTACGTACAACTAGAGTTCTGCTTTTAGACAATGTCCTAGATGACCACGCAGCCACAAAGGCCTTTCGATACCTTGGGTTGGAAGCACCGTAGACCAGTGGATTGATACCGGAATTGACATATCCTAGAAGACGAAATGCCGTGTCTAATATGGCCGTTATGTGTGGCTCTACGAGTTTCTTGTGATCATTAAGGTACGACACAAAGTAAAATAACGAGTTGATATTGAATGGTGCCAAGAGGACGAAAAACACCAAACTATTGAAGCAAAGCATGCGATTGAGGCGTTGTCTTATCTGTCCATTTCGGTAATGTATCGTCTGCACCATCCCACGATTTTCTAGAGACTCACTAACTCTACTCAAGCGGCGTAAAATCATCGCGTACAAAAAGTTGCTTACTATTACTGATGTAAAAAACGCAGACGATTGCATAATTTGATAGTAAACAATCGCACCATCAATATCACTCGTGTCTTCTGTGAATGAAACAGTCAGACAGACTCCAAACGTCTCTGGAGGATTTACATATTTGCTGTCCCAATAAAGTAGACAGTAAAGCCTATAATTGGCAAATGCAGGCGTAAAGCTGATTGAAATTGTCGCAGACACCAACCAGATAGCTGTAAGAAGACGAACAGCTCTTTTTCGTGGATTAATGTGAGCTTCCAGTGGCCAACAGACACTGTAATATCGCTCAACAGCTAATATCAGTATGTGCAGTTCTGACGCAATTAGCGAGGTATTGATGAAAAATGCTATTAGTATGCAACCTGCAGTGCCACGGTTTCCGTCATCCCCAAACGATGGAGATGTGCCGTGACGAAGAAGCTTATCGCTGATGCTACAGATTAAAAGAGATGCATCGGCTACCGCAAGGCTCATGAGATACATATTAATGGTAATTCGCATGTCTGGTACTCGATATACCATGAATATGAAAGAGAAGTTTGTGATTAAACCAAACGCCAACAAGATTGGCATCAAAACCACTGTCGCCGTTTCTTGCCATTTTGTGTATAGCAGATCACTTGGGTTAGCCCCAGACATATTAAGGGAAAACGCACAATCGGTATTTTGCAAGCCCATTGCAACGTTTTCGTCCGGCGAACGTGAACTCCGAATGAAAAATGTTTACACACCTTAGTAACGTTTAATGTTATATACCTTTCACGGCGTATGGCGTACTAAAGTTGATCATTAGATTGATGTAAGTTTAAGTAGAATAATGGCCTGAAGAAGTAAGCAAGTGTACCGTACGCATTTATCAGGTACGGTCTGACGTCTGGATCGACGTGCATAGATGGATATCATTTATCTCCAAGGCATTTATTCACGGTTGTCATGGTAGTAATTCTTGTTAGCAATATAATACAAACTGTTAGTTCCATAGACATATTTTCCATAGTTCCATAAATATTTTAATGGAAATTTACATCAGCTGTCGTCTTATTTGTGGACCGGAGAAGGATAGCAAATTCCTTTTGAGGGTCAACCTTTAAATTTGTTTCCCATTCTTTATAGTGTTACTGAGGGTTCAGTTATAGGTCCGCTTTTATTTATCATTTTTGTTTATAATTTTACTGCTGTTCCCAGATTATAATTAGTTTATTATTTGCAGATGATATTAAAGTACAGTATAAACATTTCTTCATCTGATGATGCTACTTTACGTCAGGCACTTAGATCTAGATGATTTGGCGCGGTGGTAAAATTCATGAAGTGTGGTGATCATATTCTGCTAGTGCCTGTTGTCAATTTAGACTAACGGGTTCCAAATAAATATGTGAAGGCCAAAATGACCACCACTCCCCTCCTCTCATCGATTAAACCATGGAGGTATAATTATACCTCCATGATTAAACCAAGTGTGAGGCGTAAATTTACAAAACATGGTATGTCATTATTCAGGTATTTTCGTCCATCTTCTTGTAACCGTGTAGGGTGGCTTTGACGACTTGGTCCACATCAAGTTTTCGTTGTGTTGCTGTGCCACCATGCAATCATTAGAGAAAATGCCTTGATGCAAGGACTCGCTTATCGGTTTTGAATTGTCTGAAATTGTGTATATAGGCCCATACACACTGAAATGTCTCCAGCCCATAGAGGCATTAAAACCATAGTGTAGCCTATTCGCTGGTTTCTTGCGATGATAAAAGGTTCAACCATGCTAAATAGTAATAGATGCATGCATGCATACTAACCAATTTAAACTAATTTCTTTTTGTATTGTCGACTACTGCTCGCGGCATACCGATGTTTTCCAAAGACGAAGGCGTGTTATTCCAACGTAAGTGAAGAAAACTTAATTTGAACTTAATTAAACTTAACTAAAACCAAATATTTGATAATATTTTTTTTTTTGGTACATTTGCATTTGTTTTGGTTTTTCTTCTCTGTTGTTGTTAAGCGCCTCGAGGTTGTGTCAACCTGAGGCGCTATATAAATCCAGAATTATTATTATTATTTATTAATATTTGCTGATATCTAAAAACTCAAGTCCTTTCGTAAATAGAAAAAAAAATAGCCGTTAGGCCTACTCTCCCCCTTGTGTCCGTGTATGTAAAATGATCCAAAACACAGTATGAACTGTCTTCCAAAAAACTAGACCATCAGACCTCTGAAATAGGCTTACTTTATCACTTTCATTATTACGTGTTGTAGGTAGTGAGATTTTCTATGGTGGGATTGTTTGTTTTGCCAGTCGTTGGCCGTCTTTGCCTACTTTGTCCATTTTTTTTACTTTCGCATTCAGGCAATCTCTTAGACGAGAACGCAACTACAAAGGCTTTTCGATACCTTGGGTTGGAAGCGCCGTAGACTAGTGGATTGATGCAAGAATTTACATATCCTAGAAGACGAAACGCAGTGTCCAGTATGGCAGTTACGTGTGGTTCCACAAGTTTTTTATGGTCATTTATATATGATACAAAGTAAAATAAAGAGTAAATGTTGAATGGTGCCAAGAGGGCGAGGTAAACCAAACCATTTAAGCAAAGCATGCGATTGAAGTGTTGTCTTATTTGTCCGTTTCGGAATTGTGTCGTCTGCGCCATCCCACGATTTTCTAAAGACGCGTTAACCCTACGCAACTGCCGTAAAACTAGTACGTATAAAACGTTACTTACTATTACTGATGCAAAAAATGCAAACGTTTGCGTAATTTGAAAGTAAACAATCGCACTGTCAATATCACTTGTCTCGTCTGTGTATCCAACAGAGAGACAGATTCCGTATGTCTCGGGGGGATCTACATACTTACTGTCCCAATGAACTAGGCAGTAAAGCCTGAAATTGGCAAATGCAGGTGAAAAGCTAATGGAAAGTATCGCAGAAACCAACCAGATAGCAGTCAGAAGACGAAGTGCTCGCTTCCGTGGATTGATGTGTGCTTTTAGTGGCCGACAGACACTGTAATATCTCTCAACAGCTAATATCAGTATATGCAGTTCGGACGCCATTAGTGCCGTATTGATGAAGAATGATGTTAGTATGCAACCTGCAGTGCCACGATCTCCGACATCCCCATATAATGGAGAGATGGCATGACGAACTAGCTTATCGCTGATGCTCGTGATCAAAAATGAGGTATCGGCCACCGCAAGGCTTACAAGATACATATTTATGGTAATTCGCATGTCTGGTACTCGATACACCATGAATATGAAACACAAGTTCGTGATTAAACCAAATGCCAACAAGATCGGCATCAAAATCACTGTCGCCGTTTCTTGCCAATCTGTGTATAGAAGATCACTTGGGTTGGCCCCAGACATATTATAAAAATGCACATCATCACAATCAGCATTTTGAAAGTTCATTGCAGCGTTCTCGTCTGCCGAATGCGAACTCCAAATGACAATTTGACAACTTGCACGTTTTGATTTCGCAAAATGAACAACTTTCGCGGCATCAGACTATCTATCAGGTCTATTCTTATGCACTCGAGTGTCGATGCTCATGTTAGTCGTTTCAAACAGATTTGCGGTCTGCAGAAGCAGTATTATAAAGTGTACCTCGTCTATCAAGTTCCATCAAACAACTGAGTCGAATGTGCAAGATATTTCTATTTCAGTACCTACAATCAGATATGCAGCGTATTGCTAATATGATTTGTGTAGAATTGTTATGTGGTCAATATTTGTTTTTCATCGCTTATCTCTAAAGCGTTCATCTACGGTTGTCCTGACAGTGGTATTCTTTTAATAGCAAAATAATACAAACAATTAGTTTATAGACTGTAGGCCTATTTGTAATGAGAGAGCCGGTACAAGCGCTGTCCCTTTAAGGTGGTTTTCCAATAGACGAACTTATTCGCGCGAATCAAAGTGTCGGTTCGCTGATTGGTTGCGCATTTTTTCGCTTCGCAAAAACTCCGATAGGGATGTGAATGCGCATGCGCATGAACCGACGCTTTCGATTTGCGCGAATAAATTCGCCTTGAGGAAAACCGGCTTTAAGGTTGCTGCTAAGGTCCCATGCAACGACAGTGTACAGCCGGGCATTTACTGCGTCGTACGAAGTAACTCCGCTCCTTGTGAGCGCTAGACTACGCGACCCCGTCTGCTGATTGCCGGTGGCAGTCTGAAGGGACCGCCATTAAAGACGAACCGTTGCATGCGCGTCGTCGCGTTTTGCGTTCTTTATAGCCAGGCTTAAAGTTACATAAACACATACGTTTGTGGGACAAGCGCGTATTTCTTGAACTGTTATGATTGGCCAGTTTTACATTTCGTCAGACTAAGTTTGGTGCTTTGGCGACTTGAATTAATAATTTTCAACTTGTCCAGAGCGAAGCTTTGCTCGTAATTGAAAAAAAGTAATTAGTATGGAAGTATTTGCGGCTCCCTGTGGCGGTCAACATCGCGTAGCAAAGGACAATGCATTTTGACGGTCAATATTGATTAGGGTTCTTTTGAAAATAACTACCAAACATGCAAGTAAATAAAAACTTTTTATCTGAACTTAATGTTAAATAATAATCGATTTATATCTGCATCTATTCATTGTATTTGCGATTCAAAAATGTTAAGAAACTGCTATGGAACCAGTTATGTATCTAGGAGTCTTGAAATTGGGAGGGAGAAAGCTAGCAGGTGCTGGGCCGCGAAGGTGAAGTCGGGGTCGATAATTAAGTGAGGAAGGTGCTACCTCGCAATATAAGGTGAAATAAGGTGATTTTTAACAATACTTGAATGTGATTTTTTTTTTGGCTCCGAACATTTTCATTGGAATTGGGGATTGGGGAGGGCCGCAAGCTTTTTTGCTGTGTTGGGACGGGTTGGGGTGGTGGCGTGCAGCATCCGCGCATTTTCTTGGTAGACCACTGCAACTCCCCTTTAACAAAATTATAGTATCTATGTAAGTCCGAAGTAAAGAGAAATGAATAAAGAGATAAGCCTATTTCAAGCGTACTCCAACTGAAAATTAATTTAATTTGTTAATATTATGTTTACAATAAATTATCGCAATGTAAACATCGTTTCAGATAAATAGGGAGTACAATTCAATTTTTGAATCGCTCGGCTATGACGTCACAGGCGTATGCGGCGTAATATCGTAGGGAACCCCGGATGGACCATTATCGAACCACCGTTAGGTTGATATCGCGGTAATTAAGATATTTACATTTTCCACAGTTTGACATTGAAAACCATCAACGTCTTCAATTATAAACTATTTGTTTGCCTTGTTATAACGTATGCGATATGCTCCCCTCATATATTGGCCTGACTACAAACTAAATACAGTACTACCAGCAAATCCATATTACTTTCAAAGATATTGCCTTGAAATTAATATGTTGTATTTAGGCTATATCGTTCGCTTTATTGTATACCGTACATTTACGGTGTATTGGTGTCCGTTATTTTTACAATTAATCACAGGCCTGGCTGCTAATATTACACGCTAATGTTTATAATTGTTTATAGTGACCGTTTTATTGTACTCTTAATATTTATATTTGTTTGTAGTGTCCGTTTCATAACATGCTGTTTTTCACATTGTTTTAATATGCCCATCATTGTAGGTTAATATTGAACCTTTTTCATAAATGACCGTTATATTGCCGCCTTTGTTTCTCAGTTATACTTGTATCAGTGGCGGATCCGGGGATTCGAAATAGAGGGGGCCCAGGGAGGGATGTTCACATAGAGGATGTAGATTACCTCATCCCACTATAGTCGGGGCAGAGGTAAGAAAATTTATGATTCTAATACCGCTAGTTTGATTATAATTTTCAATATCTCCTCATTTTTCTTATAATTTTGACAATCTGGGTGGGTGGGGGGGGGGGGGGCGCTATCCACCCCTTATATTTCCCCTTCGTTCCGTTACGTAGACGCTCTAAATTAAATTTGTGATGACGTAGCGGGTGCATTGCTCCAACTAAACTTAGCAAAAGGCCATTGCAATGCATAGGATTACGAGTTCATTGTTTTATTACTATCCTTGTATTCGTATAATTAATATCGAATGGTCCAGGTAGGCAAAGAAATAATTGTAGACCTAGATGAAGAGTACACTGAACATCGGAGAGTGAAAAAAAACGAAAATTATATGCATAATGCTTCCGTAGATAATTATGAGTAAATAACAGGTCCAGACTATATAAAAACATGTGACATGCCTAAATATGGTCATGATGACATCACATCATGACCATATATAGGCACATCATGACTCTATATGGGCATACAACAGTTTTTTGTCAAAAGAAAATTTCACAATCTGGACAGAGCTCTTGCATTGTGCATTTGAATTTAACCCTTCACAAAAATTAGCATTTTAAATTAACATAGTACAGTAATTATTAATACATATTATTATAATAATACAGATTTTATTATGACAGGTATAAAATATATTCAATGATTTTAGTTGTACAAACAATTAAAAAAACATTGTGTCTAACATTATGGATATGAAAGTATTCAAAAAATTAACATAGTACAGTAATTATTAATACATATTATTATAATAATACAGATTTTATTATGACAGGTATAAAATATATTCAATGATTTTACTTGTACAAACAATTAAAAAAACATTGTGTCTAACATTATGGATATGAAAGTATTCAAACAATTTATAAAACAATATAAATCATGATTTGATAGAGACAAATTCTAAACCACTTTGCAGTAATGCTATATACAGTATAAATAATTTCTTTTCATAGTAATGTATTTTACAATGTACTGTATCATATTTTGGAAGCCGTATATTGAAATACTGTACTACTACTTAGTATTAGGTATTTACTTGCTGCATTTCAATTAATTCATCATTTTCTCCTTCCTCAATTTGTACTTCATCTTTTTGGTGAACTGTGTCCCCATTTAAAAGAGGTAAATCCTTCAGTTCTTCATCATTACTAGACTGTGATTTTTCAGTTGATTCTCCTAATACCATAGCTGGCTGGTGCCTTTTCTGTAACAAAAAAAATCATAGAAAAAGTAATAAAAATGCACTTTTAAATATTGCTGCCGTCCAAAAGCACAGAAATCCTAGGGAATTAGAGTATAGGTTTTTTAAGACTGGCAGTAGTCACTGTGTGCATTTACAGGCCAATTTATATTCAAATGAGTTTCAAAAGGTTAGCGACGTACCATTCTGTATTCTGTGATAAATGATGCTATTTGAACCGATATAGTTTCTCCAGCAAATCCAGCAAGTAGTGCTGTAACGCCTAATGGAGCACCATGGAGTCTGCAAAAGAAAAAGTTTTAGCCTGTAAGAACCATACATACATTTTTACGCTATTGTTTTGTGGGGCTTAGCAACATCCAAGAGGCGGGGTTTAGCAAAAAGATCCATTACCTGTGATTTGCAAATGGGTGTGATATGCCAGTAAATGTATGAGAATATCGCGTGGTTGTGCTGAATTTCGTATGTACTACCAGCCGCCATGAAGAGGCACTTAGTAGCTACACGTCCACAACAATCACAGGGACTATGAGCCATAGCACCTGGGTAACCCCCTACTCTTTCGAAAGATGCAATGGGTTCTTTAAAGTGCACACCATATTATAACTCCTTATCGGAGAAGACTTGGTTCTACCAACTGAACCCAGGACGATGTGCAGTACTGATGTTACCGCCAGAGCACTACACAGGCTATTGGATGTACAAGATTTGTTCTTACCCCATCTTTGGAAAGACAATCAAAACAATGATTAGGAAAACCATTCTCACAACAGCACTGGGAAACAGTACAGTAGTTTTCTTCATCATGAGCAACCAAGATGTGTTGTGGGAACGCCATACAGCTACGTAAACAAAAAAGAATCAAATAATGTTAGTAATATAGCAGAAGATGAGTCCCATTTTTTTTTTAAGTTAAAAGGGAGAAATCCAACCAAACATTGATTGATGGGCAGCACAACAATATTATTTGGGCTTAGTGTAAACGAAATTTAAAATAATATTAAGTGCAACTTACTGAATAATGGAAAAACAGAGAAGATTTTCAATGGTACTATACACATAAGTGCAACCTCCTCCGATAAACCTAAACTGTTAGTGAAGAAACTTGTGACAATTCCTGGAATCAAAAATAAGCTGAAGCTAATCTGAAAATCAAACAAGTGGCATAATGGTTAGGGTTTTAGGCTTCCAATGCCAGTTTCCTGGGTTCAAATCCTGTATAAAGTCATAATGAGTTTTGTTGGTGTAAAACAATTTATCAATCAATCAATCGACTGATGGATTCACTGATTCATTGCAGGTGCATTGAAAGAAGTGGGGTTGGGCGGGTGCAGTCTGATGGTCTTCTTTATAGAATGGTTTGGTTTCTAGATGTTTAGATATACACTTTCCTGTATTCCTATTAATAAATGAATACACTCTGAATTCATATGTTTCCCTACTCCAGTATGTAAAATTAATATTTGAGTTCACTGTTGTTATTGATTAGTGATGCATTGATTGGTAGTTGTTCAATAAGTGATCAGTTTATTGATGGTCAATTGACTGGTTGGTCAATTTGTTGACAGTTGGTTTCATTTGTTAATGATAAATCAATGGTAATTGATTGATTTGTAATTTATTAAGTGATCAGTATATTGGTGATTGATCGACCAATTGATTGTGATTGATTGGCTATTAAATTAATTCACTCTACCATTAATACAAGAAAGAGACAGCATATATCAAAATTCCTTATATGTCTTCTGTGTACAAGAGTGACCTGATTGTTCTGGAAGTAAAGAAGAATAATTCCAAAAATGTTAAGACATAAGAGTTTAATACTATACAGGAGTGATTTTTTGCCCTACCTGACATGTTAACGTACCAAATACTCGGTACATTCCTAAATATCTTTAAAAAAAATGCAAGTGATTCAGGTGGGAATCGAACCCACAACCTCCAATAACTAGCCTGGTGCCATAACCACTAGACTACTGAGCTTGCGCCTAGTGACTAGTGTTGAATCCGATCCACAAGCAGCAGTGGGTTCTGCAAGTATTTTTTGGGAACATTCTGACTATTTGGTACGATAACAACTTAGGTAGGGCAAAACATTAGTCATATGATATTTTTTTCATATGATTTATTTTAGTTTAATACATAGCAATGCATAACACTTTTTTTCATTTTTATACACTGCATTCAAAATTTTGTATCTTTTAAGCTGTTCACAATTATTTTTTAGTGTTATAGAGACTATTAATCAAAATAAGTTTTTCCGCCAGAGCCTGACTTTAAGTATTGTTATTATTAATTAAGTATTATACAGAAGTTATATTTGATATTAAACAATATCATACTTTTATGTAAATTCATACATGTTAATGTTTCAATTCATACCCTCAAAAAGGCTGGCTGAAGAGATTTCAGCTCATTTAACCAACCAAATGTAATTCTACCTGTTGGGTGCACTAGGGTTAGTACGGCTATGGCCTGAAAAAAAAAATAAAAACACCATCAAAAAAAGAAAAATTCTGAAACCATAATGATATTATTGTCAATATCATTATATCAAATTACAACTTTATCAAGGTATAATGCAGCACCTTGCATACCACTTATTTTCTCTCACCTCTTTTCTTTTATAGCGCTATTTTAGGGAGGGGGTCCTGGCCCCAGGAGGGGTTCTAGCCCCTGCACTAGACAAATATTTTTCGAACCTGAACAGCTTCATCTGAGCCTCCGAGGTCTCTGGCTACAAACAGGTTGATGATCGGTCGGCTGATTTTCTGGACAGCTTGGACAATTGCAAGTGGCCACCAGAACATGAGCACTCGTAGAATACTCAAACTGCTTTCCTAAACAATCCAAGATAATTAAAACATATAGTCTAATTCTGTTGCATCATGAGAAGTAGTTGTTGTTTAAGAAAAAATTACATACAAAAAAACCATTCAATAAGGCAATGAGCAACATCAATAAATTAAAAAAAAAAAAAAAACGAAAAATAGGAATAGAGCCATAATAACAGTAATGGACAAGTGACAAAAATCATAATAAATTTAAGCATGTGGCCACAGGGGGCTTGAGAACCGCCCGCCAGACACAGCTGGCCTAGCTTTCAAGGAAGTCGTGATAATATATGTCGGGGTGGGGGCGCGAAATTATTAAATTCATTTGTTTACCAGATTCAGGCCATTTTTGGGCAATAAATTTATAGAAAATGTTTTGAATTACTTCCTCGAATTTTCCCATAACAATTATAGGCCTACTGTATGTCATTTATTAGATATACTGAATGGAAAGATAGCCAATAATATATTAACAACTTTTTAGCTCCGATGAGGAACTCTAGGACGACGTTCCGCAAACTACGGTCCGCCGCGAAACATTTTTGGAGGGCCGCGAAGCCGTCCGAAATTAATAATAAAAAAAAATAACAAAGTGACGTTTCATCATGGAGAAAATAGTTTTTAATAAAGCCGCTTCATTTTTCCAGCGAATGCGTCGCTTGAACACGCTGCTAAAATGCCAGTGCCAGTTTTTGTGTCTATGCCCCCTCGGGAGCTAGACACTATGCCTGTCTCTTATACACATCTAGATGTGTATAAGAGACAGGTTCTGGAAGTAAAGAAGAATAATTCCAAAAATGTTAAGACATAAGAGTTTAATACTATACAGGAGTGATTTTTTGCCCTACCTGACATGTTAACGTACCAAATACTCGGTACATTCCTAAATATCTTTAAAAAAAATGCAAGTGATTCAGGTGGGAATCGAACCCACAACCTCCAATAACTAGCCTGGTGCCATAACCACTAGACTACTGAGCTTGCGCCTAGTGACTAGTGTTGAATCCGATCCACAAGCAGCAGTGGGTTCTGCAAGTATTTTTTGGGAACATTCTGACCTGTCTCTTATACACATCTAGATGTGTATAAGAGACAGCTTCAGTTCTTCATCATTACTAGACTTTCTATTCATAGAGGCCTTTATGAAGAAATCCTATCCAGTGGTGGCTGTGACCGGCCAACTCCGGCTATGAATTTAGAAAGATTGAATTGTGTTAAAATGAGTACACAATGTACACAATTTTTAAAAAGGTTCTAGGCCTAGGTTGTTCTTTAGTCCCTATTTTTATTAATTTTAAGTATATTATCAATAATGAATGGAAAATAAAATATTTGAAGGAACAGAAATAAGAATAGGAAAGAAACTTTGAGCAGCTGAAATTATCCCAAAATATGTAATAATAACAATCAATATACTGTATCTCATTATCATAATTTTAACGACAGAGAGACTTCAGAAACTTCAGAAAATCGTTCCCAAGATGCATGGACTCTCCATGGTTAAGCTGTGTTAAAAACCAATGAAAGCTCAAGAATAAAACGTAAGTTAACATATTTATTCAAATATTTTTGGATCATCAAAAAGAAATTCTAACAAATAATTAACGTTTTAGAAAAAAGTGTGAGCTTTTCTCCCATAGGTCAAGGAGTCAAGTCTATCACTTTTTTACACACTATTCAACATTAATCGCCTTACGTTTGTTTGGGTTTCGTTCGTCCTTCTCACTGTTCTGTGAATGAGGAATCCAATGAAAAGTATACTGAACCGAGTCAAGATGCCAGTATAGACAGCAATGACTGGAACTAACACTGGTCTTGTGTTTGCTATATCCATTTTTAGTAACCCAAACACAGTGCCTATCTAAAAAGAGAAGACAGCCTACTGTATATTACATACTCCTTTGAATCTGTTTTTCTGTATTCAACAAACATTGAAAAAATAACAATTGCATGGTTTACCTGGACAGCAACATCTATCACAGATGCGGACCCAACAAGGGCGGTGTGTTTTAGCTGCAAAAGGTAACCTGCTACATACCAGGACTAGAGCATTAAAACATAATTAAATCAAATTAATTTGTACACCAATCACATACCAGGACTAGAGCATTAAAACATAATTAAATCAAATTAATTTGTACACCAATCAGGATTTAAAATTGCGGGGGGGTGGGAAGAATAAATATTACTACAACTTTTTTTTCCTCTTCCAGTAATGTTATATTCTTACCATTCCATGAAAAAGGGGGACGAAACTCAGCATCAGTACGGCCTTTCTTGTAGCTTGGCCCACATCCTCATCTAAGTGGTATAGCGTATGAGTTATAAAATACCCAAAGTCGGTATACGCTAAAAAAAAACAAATATAGGACAAAATTATTATCCTTGAACAATGAACAATTTAATTTCTTAATTATTTTTTTTTTTATGGTTTATAAAATAAATGTTTTAGATATTTAATTATTCAAAAAATATTGATTACCAATTAATAACGCGAGTGTGATGATAATTGCAGAGAGTAGGAACAGCCTTGATCTCTTATTTAATTATTCAAAAAATATTGATTACCAATTAATAACGCGAGTGTGATGACAATTGCAGAGAGTAGGAACAGCGTTATCAACCCAATCCTTGCCTCCTTCTTGTTGTGCACCAGCACCAAAGAAACGTTTTTGAATTCTTGAAAAGGTCCCGAGGCAAATTGTGTGAGTGTATACGCTATACCAAATATGGCAAGCATCTCGGTGGCATTCTTCGCTGACGATAATCCTCGATTCAAAACCTGGTGAAAATAGAGTACATGGCGGGGGTAAAACAAAGTTAAAAAAAAGTTATAACACATTGAATACCCCTCCCCCAAAACAACCCTAAACAAGCTCTTTTTTAAAATTAAAAAGAAAATATGTTCTAATTTCTTGGAACAGCCCAATAACCCAATAACCGTCTGGGGTAAAAGAAAAAAATATATGTATTTTCTCCATATTTGTTGAAATAAGCATTTAATCCCCCATAATTGTAAAATTTTTCGTCGGGACATCTCCCCCCCCCCAGCCCACCTATCGGGGACCTTGGACCCCCCCGTCACGCAATTCTTGGCACCACCACTGACCAGGGATGACCTCCCCTCCCTGGTTCCCGCTAAATTGTCTGACCAATGGAATTCTTGAAATGAGGGTGGTGAATGGGAGGGGGGGGACCAAAGGTGAAGTGGGGGGGGGGCTCAATGGTCAGTTGAGGGGTGCTTTTCACAAAATAAGGTGAATTCCGGTGATTTTTAACTACTTGACTGTGATTTTTGTTTTTGTGGGGTGACTGGGGGGCCCCCGCACACCCCCTAGATACGCCACTGTGTCTGACCTCTGTGAGACCAGATCACTATTACTTTTAGCTTCAGTGGCCAAGCCTGAGCAGCTACTTTGTGTCGAATAGAGAGCCGCGCGCACAATGGTAAACTACATAGCGCGAAGTGCGATAGGCTCTGGAAGCTAGGTAGGCTCTGGAAGTCCCTCAGTGGAGTTGCCAGGTTATCAGAAATTTACATTTCAAATTTTGCGAAAATGGTCTACAGCAGACGTACCTGTCAAGTCTCACGCATCTCGCGGGAGTCCCACACTTTATTTTTGCACTGCGCGCCACTCGACTTTCGCAATGCGCCTCTTAATTGTTTGTGATTTTTGGCGTTTCATAGGTGAGTGCTTGCGTGTACTGTATGTTATCATAGAGAAAATAGTTTTATGGTTACATCTACGCTTGACTACTTTTAAGGTTTGTGACCTCAAGTATAAAAGTCCCCAAGTAAAGCAAATCCAGAAGAAATCTCCAGCAAGCCAGTGCCTTGACAGGTGTGCTATAGGTCAGGCCTTATCTGTTTCGTGACCTTGATTTTTGTCTTAGTCCCTCTCCTGATCATACGTAAACAATTTATTTACCTGGTCCGAGACATCAACTGCAACAATAGTCAAGGCTAGCGGAGCGATGAACTTAGTGAGATGCCAGTATGCTTTGAAATCCATAAGTTCGTCTCACTTGTTGAAATTTCACAATTTACAATGCTTCTTGAAAACAATTCTAATAAGCCTACATTAGGCCTACTTGTTTGGTGAGTTTGCAGTAATCGTAAAATGGAAAGAAAGATCCAGGGACTTTCCATCAGCTCTATGGCTTCTATGAATAAGTTGAGCGAAATATATAGGCCTACCAGTAATAGCTATCAAAGAATCTATATTTTTTGAGCTGAGCCAACTGGATGCGACTGGCTTACATGTTACGGTGGCCCATAGTGTCACAGAGAAATAAATGAGTATTGTGCTGTACAGTGCGAAAAATAATATCGATGGTCACAGATTGGTCCCGTGGATTCTGCACACGTCCTGATAAATTATATGGGGTTTCCCCTCCCCATTCTTTGAGCCTCTTCGGAGCTGAAATCGGGCAGTGGCGGATTCAAGGGGAGGGGGAGGAATATCTGGTCCGCGCCTGAATACATTTTTCAAAATTAAGAAAAAGGTATATTATATTCCTGTAAGTCCGAGAGAGGCCTACCTACCATTCCGGCCATCTAGAGTCCTGGTTCTTGGCGGCCCGCTGGCCAATTTTAATTTCCCCACTTTAGGGTTGGTGGGGGCGGGGCTGTCATCAGGGGGAAGATTTAGGGGGAGCGCCTGCGACTCCCCCCCCCCCCTTTACATCACAATTTTTTTTTTGAGATAATTAAATGAATATACTCAATTCCATAGAAAGGGTAGTTCTATGTCACATCGCGCAAATGCATAGCTACAAAGAAAGTTTAAGCGCAGATGCACTTTGAACATGGAAACTTTCGTGCTATCAATCACATCTCTATCGAGGTCAGCAGATATGTGCTGTCAGGCAACCCCATACACAGTGACCACAGTACACTGATATGTGTGCACATCTCCATTGTGGACACCCCTTCAGGAGACCAGGGAGGTGTTATAGCACTATAACAACTCCCTGAGTAGACTTACTCTTAAAGTACAGTTTTTGTGTAGACAACATTTGACACTTTTGACGTGTGAGTTTTACATCCTTATTGTTTTCAAGAACAGTATCTGGTTTAATCATCATTGTGTAATTTACAAGATATACTGTATTGTATAATCCTGTTGTCTAATTGACATGAAACAAAATAGCCTACCTATAAACCTGGGCCTAGGCCTATTTCCAGTGGAAGATTTAGGGGGTGGGGGTAAGGGGCATACAATAAATAACACCAAAAATCGATCACTGAGTACTTTCCGTGGTCCTCTTCAAACAAGCAAAACACGTTCATGGCCTGCCTCACGCAGATCTAAAATTAAACCCTGTAAACAGAGCTATATATATATCTGTCTCTTATACACATCTACATCAGAAATGTTATGTCAATTCCAAGAATGTTTAAGGTTATTGACATGGTAGAAGAAGCCCGTTGTTAAATCAAGAGGTAAACACAATTAAATTTATGTTATTGCAATACGTCTATTGGGTTTTATCGTCAATAAAATTCGTTAAAAAAATAAATAAAATTCGTAAACGTACTTATTGATAAACAGGTATGAACCAAAGAACAGTGCTTATAAAAATACCTTTCGATTGTTGTGCAAATAATTCAAGTCATACAGGAATCTATATGTCGCTAAGTCCTGCCTGTGTGTGTTTTGTTCTGATCATTGTGTTTCGTCAATAGCCTTCTTTTCAAGGTCATACAGAATTAGCATCACCACGACTTTTTGTGCTGCTTTAAGTTCCATCTCTGTATTTTGCTTTGTTCACGTGATTAGTTAATAGCATTCTTTACTTTATATGGGTAATAAAGATTTGATGTATCAACAAACAGTGCTCATAAAAATACATTTTTCTTCCAGGGGTGGGCATGAAAATTGGTCGGAGAGCCAAAGTGAATTTTTTGATTTAACACTGAGGGTCCTACCCAAAATTTAATGTTTCCAGTGTGCTTCCAAAAACCTCCAAGACTCTTTTACACCAACTTATTCTTATGTTACTTTTTACATATGATAGGTGTCGGGCTGTAAAAAAAAGGTGTTTTTCTAGCCAATGTTGCTTGGCGAGCCGCACCCATGGGGTGGGCCGCACTTTGCGCACCTCTGCTCCAGTCATACACATGCGTACATTGGAAAATTGTTTGTATTTTGATCTACACAGACATTTCCCGCAACCAAATTTTGGGTTATGACTGCTATAGAGTGCAGGCCTAGTACAATTTAAAATTGCGAAAAAAATAAAAGAACTTTCAAATAGACCTATCTTAGCGGAAGAGTTTTACCCAGATTCGACGATTGCTTTCTCGGCGACCGAGTTTATCTTTGGCCTTCAGATCATCAATCTACACTATAAAATTTTATGTGACAAAACAAAATATGATGTGACCATATATGGGTACGATGACGTCATATCACATATCAAATTGTATCAAAAAAGTTGAACGTGTTAAACTCTATGTTCCATCACATTTTATGTGACGCTTTCTTTTTTTAAAGAAATTTGATAGTGTAGACAAAACTTTAAAATAATTTGGCCCTTCAAACAAATTAATTAAAAACCGGGAATCTAGAGGTTCAACACGGTGGCCGACAAGAAAGAAATTTGCCGACAAGGGGTCCGACATGTCCGACGGAGGGTCCGAGCGTTCACAGGGAATTTTTTTTTTTTTTTTTTTTTTGGCTAATTAAGATATGGTCAAAAATGTGCTTTTAGACCACAATGGATCGGCAGTCAAAAAACCTTATTTGGATAGGCAAATTATTATTTTCTTTTAATCCGACCACCTTCTAAAATGTATGATTATGGCACCTAATGGCCGGAAATGTCACTTTCAGACATAAAATTTGAATAGAATTTTCTTCCCCCCCCCTTTTTTTTAAAAGGCATTAGGCTTTCAATCAAGTCGTGGTTAGTACCAACTGG